CATTACTTTTTTAAGCTTTTTTCTAAATAAACTATAAAATAATTCAACTTTAACTCTTAACAGTGTCAATATTATTGCAGCTGTTAAAGAGACAATGTGTAGTTTTTACCATTCATTTCTGGAAATATCCATCAAAATGTTGTGAATGAATGAAAAGATGGCCAGTTGTTACAAAATATTGGCGGCTTCGTAACATATAACCATAACAATCAGGTCAAAAATGCATGGGAGCGGGTCTAAGTCTGGGCGATGCCATATTAGATGCCATGTTTCCTTCTGTGGGAGCCCATGAGGACAAAATGCATTTACTGACTTTTAAAGAGTTACACAACTTTAGTCATTCTTAAATGTTGCTGCTTTACACATTTACCTTTTCATTGGTTGCCTGTGATGAAAGGGAGACTGATGTGCTTGTTATTTTGCTGAAGTTTGCACTGCCCATGGCTCTTTCACCCTAATGGGCATATGTTGGTAAGGTCTTACTCCAACACAAAAATACTGCTTGCAACAATTTAGGTATACTGCCTCCTATCGCCAGGAAAAATACACACTGTCACTTTAAGCCAGGAAGCTAACAGCTAGCAGCCACACTGATAAAATGCCAGCTTGTGGTTCATTTACTAGGTGACTGCAGACAGCCAGTGAGAACCTTACACATGGGGTCCAGAGACTACCCACAATGCACCTCACCTGCTGCAGCTGAAGAAGCAGAGGAAGAAGAAGGCGGTGCTTACCAGAGTACTTTTTACACTGTTTTGGAGGAATTTTCATCACCACTGGAGGGAGTGAATTTTCTTTAACACCTGACAGGTTAAACTATAAAAGGTAATTTAAAAAATCAGTTTTAACTCTGAATATTAACACCAACACTGCATGACAAATGGAGGTACTTTACACTAACTTTCACTGAACTGACTCTGACAGAGTTCCCATACTCTGACACTGCTTTTTTAACACTTGAGATTTTACTGTGTAGCTTGTTTTGTAGATTTACTGTTGCAGCTTTAAACTTTCAATGCCTGTGCATATGACAACTACTTCAATTGTGCCAAACAAACAAAAATATCTCAAAAACTATACATCTGATCAGTCATATTTTGACATTATGGGTGAGAGGAGAAGTAGCTGAAGAGTTTGATTTATAATATGTACATGGTATGAAGGGGTTGTGTCATTAAAAGAGTAAAAACTGACTCTAATCATTTTCTAATATTTCATTTTAATGCCAGTATCATTTGATAATATTGGACTTCCCTAGTTTAAGTTTATTTTATCTCAGAAATTAAAAATGCAAAAACATTAATAAATAAATAAACTCACACAAAAAATCTGTCTTGAAGAAAAGGCTTAATAATCACAACTGGAATTTCTTTGAATCTCTTTTTAAAGTTTAAAAAGGTTAAATAATGTTTTGCAAAATGGATAAACACTCTTCCTGCCACCTGATGACTAAAATAAGCAAATGTGTTCATCATATCAGAAGCAATCAAACAATTACTCACATTTTGCAGCTTTTATGGAGACATAATTGAAAAAAATCAACTGTAGTTGACTAATGACACACAAACGAACATATGGGTCAAGAAGAGGTTGCAGATTTTTACAGATACCATTTTCAGCACATTTACTGCTTTACATTTATTCCTTGCTGCTCTGTGTCACACCTGACTGTGTCCCGTGAAGCAGGCTGCACACAACTGATGAAAATTTGATCTAAACCAACCCGATGAGACACGTAAGAAACAGTCCTGTGCAGGAAGAAGGGCTTACACAAGATGATGAAACCTGCTTATAGCAGAGGGGGTCGACATATTTTCAGCTCAGGACAAAACTGACCTGATGACAGCCGGTTTCTCCCTCCCGAAGGGTTCCTGAACACAACCAGTGAAATGCTCAGTATACCGACCTCATTTAAATTCAAGAGAGAAAATCACAATTTTACAACTAACAGGTTGTGACAATGATGCTCCACAACGTGAATTAAATCTTCATGAATTAAAAACAGTGAAGCCAGCAACCACATCCCTGAAAGGTTTTTCAGGTGAAAGAACCTTAAAACTACTCGTTCTTGCACAAATCTCCTTTTAGAGATGTGTTTCATAAGATGTAATTATATAAACCAACAAAGATCACAAATCTAAACCAGAACAGTACCATTTCATCCCTTAACCTTAAATATTTAGAAGTGAATGCATATGACAAAAATGAGACAGAAATGAACAATGACAGGAAAAATCATTGTGCAGGATGAGTCTCACAAAGCTAAATGCACATCAGAGCTGACACCAGCATCTCGGCGTTCTTTGACTGGTGGCGAAAAACAGATTTATTAGAAACGTTCATAACAGATCTCGATTTTGTGCTCATGTGTTGCTGGAAATTTGAACAACAGATACAAAATAAAGTGCAGATGTCTGGACCTCATCTTAAAGCTTTCTCTATTCAGTTTCTTTGACTCAGAAAGTGTATAACATGAGGTAAACTGAGACAGTTTGTGTCTGAAGCTCACTACAAACGATGGGATAAACACTGACCCAAGTCTACCAGTCTGACAGTTTTAAGGATGTGCGTGATTAGCATGATTACTCTGAAGACTGTGTTTATTAGATATTCCTGTCATGTTTGGAGTATCTGATGTCTGGTCTGCTCGAAACGACTTCGGGACCGCTCATCATAAATCTAGGACTTTCAACATGTTGGATTGTCTGAGGAGAAACAAGTGAGCTGCTTGTTGAAAATGGTGTGAGGGGAATAATCTCACGCAGGGGTGCACCTAAATAATTTTCATAAGGGTGGCCAGATGAGGCCAGAGGTGGCCCACCAGATTGTAACTCTAGCCTGTGGTGATGCACTGCATGCTCCTTTATTCCTTTTCATTAAAAAATAATATGCATCAACATGATGAAACATGAAATCAAATCTGAAGAACACATATTTTTCAGAAAAAGACGTTTCAAACAGTTATTTGAAATGTTATTTTAAAATGTATTGTAGAATTTTTAAAAACACTTAAATTGGTGTCTTCACAACAACATCTTCAGAAAATATAGACTTAAACTTTTATTTTAAAAATGGTGAGCATGCAGGAGAAACATGAATCTGATTATGTTTATGTTTATTTATTTGGCAGACGCTTTTATCCAAAGCGACTTACAATTTATAACCTATAGGGCATGTTGTGATCTGTGGGGGAAACCGGAGTACCCGGAGGAAACCCACGCATGCATGGGGAGAACACGCAACTCCACGCAGAAAGGCCGCAGCCGAGTATCGAACCTGCAACCTTCGTGCTGCGAGGCAACAGTGCTAACAACTGCGCCACCATGCAGCCCATTTTATTGCTCATGATTATTTATTTACTTTTTAATTGCATATTTTATTGGGTTTTACATTCATGTCTGATTTGATCATATGAATTTGTAGTTTGTGTAAACATTCATTTGATTAACTCATTCGCTGCCAGCTGTTTCCTGATCGGTAAAGCCCTTCGCTGCCAGCGTTTCTCACTGTTTTTACTGTTTTTTTTAACAGTCACAGAACTAGGATGATGTCGACGCCGGAAGAACCCGTGCGTTTTGAGCGTTATCCATTCTTTCATAATATGTTGTTGAACTGTCATCGGCAGAAGCTTTTCCGGTTCATGCCTCACTTTTTTTACAGCAGCGGACCAAAACAATCTCCTAACACATGGATGTTCTGCTTCCTGATCACATGACGTGTGACATATGCGGATGAAGATCGGCTTTAGAGTTGAGATGTTTGTTCTCACGGTGCGGTGGCTCGTTCTGACGTCCACACAGCAAAAATTGCAAATGACACTGCCACCTAGGATTGACTGAGTAGTGCTTGTCGACTTTAGTCGTCATTGGCAGTGAATGAGTTAAAGAACATTGGTCTCCTCTGGTGTGGCCAGCAATTTTCTAGTAGTGGCCCTGGCCACCCCTTGGGGGCACCACTGATCTCTAGAGGTTTTGCCCATCTGATGTTCGTGAGTGAAACTGGGTCATGTTGGGTGTTTGGTGCCGATTTCTTATCGCCACGTGTGTAGTCTCTCCCATGCTTTGAAAGTTGTCAGACAACTTTCAAAACCAACTGTGCAACAACATAATTTGCATAAATGCGTTGCATAAAACTTGGAATTTGTACACATTTTCATGTTTTTCACACAGTTATTTTTCCAATCAGTCACCCAAGCTGCAGCTCAGTAAGATTGAAATATTTCTGATTGAATGTTTCTGCACAGTGGCGCAGTGGTTAGCTCTGTTGTCCTGCAGCAGGAAGGCCCTGAGTTCACATCCAGTGCCTACACAACACTCAGGGCAATCCAGACTTTTTTCATGTGTTGTTCCACAGATGTGGAACAACCTACCAAGCACTACCAGAACAGGGGCGTCGTTGTTGATTTTCAAGAAACTCAGCTCTCCAGAGAGGATCTTCTAAACTAGCACCCTCCCTGCACCTGTCCCCCACTGTCCATTCCTTGTTCACTTCCCTTTATGATTTATTATGCTGCCTCACTGCCACCTAGGATTGACTGAGTAGTGATTGTTGTTAGCCTCAAGGGCAACCTGCTGGCTTCATTATCACTTGTAAGTCACTTTGGACAAAAACGTCTGCTAAGTAAATACATAAACATAAACATCCCGGCCTGGGGTCTTTTTACAAAGAGTTTGCATGTCCTCCCTTTGCATGCATGGGTTCTCTCCAGGTACTCCGGCTTCCTCCCACAGTTCAAAAACATGACAGGTCAATTGGTCTGGTTGTTTGTACTGTGTGACTCTGTGTTGCCCTGCAATGGACTGGCAACCTGTCCAGGGTGTACCCCGCCTGTTTGCTCGTAGACTGCTCGAGATACGCACCAGCCCCCCGCGACCCTGCATGGACACGCGAGTATATAATGAACATTTCTTGACCATTTCAATTTCAAGTTTTGCTCTGGGATTTTTTTGTAGAAACCCAGATTTCCCTCTGTAAAGTTGAGAAACTCATGAAACCTATACCTGAGTTTGTTGTCAGCTGTTCGGTTTTGGAAGTCTCGATGCCCGCTCCGATCAACGTCATGATCTTCTCAATCTGTTAGAGAGAGAGAAATCACGAAATACTGATTAAAAATATACATCACCTCATGTTAGATTAAAACATCAACAGCTCACACGCTATAAAAATGACAAATATTATATCCTATTATCATAAAACATTCAATAAACTTCATTCTAACTGTACATCATCCTAGCTGAGCCAAACTGATCATTAAAGAGGAACGGTGACGGCGTGAGGCTGAGTGGGAGTCAGGAATGCGTGCTGTTGTTGCTAGGAGGGCGGCGAGCTGCTTTACAGTGATGGATTAGCAGCAACAATCTAACGTGGACAGCAAGCCAATGAGTAATCCAACACTCAGCAAAAACACAGCTGAGTAATAAGGTGAGCTACAATCAGGACTGAAGAAAATCAACATTACCGAGGCCTCTAGGAAGTTTTGCAGCTCGAGGAAGAGTCGTTTGGAGCTACAAAGATCCTAGATCTCAGGAGCCAGAGTACATTTCCAGGCTGTTAGCATTCTGATTGTTTTTGCCTAAATAAATAAATTAATAATAGCTGAAATTACACAGACGTGCTTTGGGGGCTACATGCGCTAAATGGATAATTTATGAACAGCAGTCTTCTACTCATAGCAGAAGAACAAGTACAATTCAGGCCTATTTCTGCAGTAAAATTGTACAGGTTAAGGGAACTCTGGGGCAACAGTAGCTTGGGAGTTAGAGCAGGTTGTCCAGTAATCTGAGGGTTTAATCTCGGCAGAGAATTCTACTGTTGTGTCCTTGGGCAAGACACTTAACCCACCTCCCTGCTGGGGGTCGGATGGACTGGTGGTGCCAGTGCTCACTAGCCTATAGCCTCTGTCAGTGTGCCCCAGCTATGACTACAATGTAGCTCATCACCACCAGGGTGTAGTAAATGTGTGTGTGAATGGATGAATGACTGTGTTGTAAAGCACCTTGGGGGGTTCTAGGACTCCAGAAGGAGCTAAATCAAATACTGACCATTTGTCATTTATTCAAAAGACTAAAGCTAAATAAAATAAAATTCTTGTCAAAATTAACACTACGTACTTTAACACTACCAGGGTGTACCTAATAAAGTGAGTAGATGATGTTACAAAAATAATGAATTCATGCTCTCTTGTAAGGGTGTCCATACTTGTCAAGATGAGGGCCAAACTGGTTAAATGGTAAATGTTCCGTAACAACCAACTTATACTAAAACAAACCACAAAATGCTTTTTATTCTAAAAAATCTTATTAAATGGTGAATGGCCTGTATTTGTATAGTACCTTCTTAGGGTTCTACAACTCCTCAAGACGCTCCACAACACAATCAGTCGTCGACCTATTCACACACTGGTGATGAAGAGCTGCTGTGCAGCCACAGCTGCCTTGGGGCGCACTGACAAAGGTGAGACCGCCGAACACTAGCACCACCGGTCCCTCCGACCACCACCGGCACTTACAAGTTATTTTACTTAAAAGTCCAGTAGCAACAAAGCCAGGTCACCATCAGTGCATGATTTTGTAGCCTCCTTTATCGCCCTTAAACTAGCATAGGCTGCATCGAGGTTCACTCTGGTTTTAGCGCTTTGCTTCACCTTCAAAGACATCACTCTCTTACTTTTCTTCCAAGCTCTGCCATGATGCCAACAGAAAAAGCTAACTTCTTTTTCTTCGTCTTGTGCTTTTCATTGGCAATTGGAAAACTGAAAATGCTAACTGGTAGCATTACAGCTAACAGCCATAAAGCAAGTAAAGAGCTCCCCCTATAAGGCACCCACCCGCTCCACTAGACTAGTTTAAATTGTTGCAGTTTTCTTTTATTCCTCCAAAAGTATCTCATGTTTCTTACACTTTCTTATGAACTAAAATAGAATTAAACTAAAGTGGAAAGAGTTTCAGGGAGATCCCTGTCACCAGTGAGAAACCAGCAGCAAAAGGACAGACCTTCTTCCTATAAAGCAACATTTTAAACCAAGCTTAAAGCAAATAGAAACTGGAGATAAAAGGCACAGAACAAGAGAAAACAAAGGTACACGAGGAGGGGACCACGTGTGATCTACAGGTAAACAAAGTGACTCAACGAAGCGTTGCTGCATAATCGCTTGGAGCACGTTTAGAAAAACTGAGTCGTTTATGGAAATTAATGAAGTTGTTGCATTTTATTTGGCCACATATTTGTTGCCAGCACAGATTGTCTTCATGTTTTGATCTAATGCATAGATGCTGTTTGTGTATTTATAATTGGTCAGAATGTAATGTGCAGAGTCTTTAGGTGGGGCAGGTTTAAATGATTACATCCTTGTTGATATGCATTTCATTCAATTCATCAAATATACACAAACAATAACCTAAAAATTTCAGAATTTTTTCTTAAGCTGAAATACTTTTACAGTTTTATCCAAACGTGATTTACTGAATAAAGTGAGAACAGACAAACAACAGAATAGTAATTTTTTGACTTTCCATATTATATTATTAGATTTTTTATTTTTGAAATATGAACAACCACTTATACCGTTGGTTTATCATAAATATCATTAGTATCTACTTAGTGCTGTGCAATTTTCTGATGTTCAAAGATAGTAAAGGCTCTTACACAGAACATTTACTTTGCATGCAAACTACAAAAAAATAACAACATTTTATATTTTTAACTTTTTGCAAATAATGGATCCATGCAGAAAATGTTGTCAACTCTTTTGCAGCTAATTAGTGTGCACCAGGGACCTGAAACTTCTTTGTGCAAAAAATTGCAAAGCAGATTTGAATCTAAATTTAGTAACACAAGTCTATTTACAATCAGCAATACAGGGTTTTGCAGGCCTGGAAAACTGATTCTCCTTTCTCCACTGACACCAGAGACACAGCCAGGCTGATTTGATGTAATATTTAGTGTTTGAAAAAGCACTATGCACTTCGCTAGTGGCATCAACACTGTGGAAAAGCCTTGATTCATTTGGAAGTCAGGCACGTGAGACGCATGGCATACGCCTCCAGCAATACAGACCTTGCATTACTCTTTGAATTAACCCAGTTACATTCTATATCACACACACACACACACACACACACACACACACACACACACACACACACACACACACACACACACACACAAAAGGATTGCATTATGTCTAAGGTTAAGTGCACCTTTATTAAAACCTGTCACAAAAGTGTTCTTTCTTTTCTTTTTCAGTGAAAATTGGTGAAAAGCTAAAGTGTTTCACAACTTTCTGCACACAGACCCATAATGCACATGAAATTAGATTATTCTACAGCATGTCAACAACGAAGATATTTGAAGTTAATGTAATATTTGAAGCAAAGAACTGTGCAAAACTTGTAGATTGCAATATGAAAAACAAAACATAACATTATTTACTCAACAGTCTCGTGCTACGGCCACTGAACCTTTTTCTGCCATGTCTTCTTGCAGAGAAACCCTTACAGATGATCCAAAGTGACGCTTAAAGGGACGGTGCTGGAAAGGTTACGAACAATTAACATCTTAGCTGTAGACGGCTCTTTGAATGTCTTCAGTTTGGAAAAACGGAGATTAGCTCTGACCAATCAACCTTTTAAATGTTTGCCGGACATTTGTTCAGACAGCTGACGTCTGATCAACTTTCTGCCCCTAGTGGCCAGTTCCAGTATTAGCTTTAAGTCCTGCCCCCTCCATATAAGACGGTTTTTCAAATGAAAAACTGTTTTTAAAGAATAGTCAGACATTTTGAAATGTATGAAGGCATGCAAGTGAGATGTAGCATTTACGTCAGACCCGAGTGATTATAATAAAGCAGCAGTCACCTGAGTTCATTCCAAGAGTAGTCCACAACAGGAAATAACCTTTCCCCGTAGCAATCCACTCCAAAACATCTAAACTGGCATTTTAAAGGCCCACAGCAGGGGTGTCTGCTGCTGGTCCTTTTAGCATAAAGTTCAGTTAATCACCACTTTATTGAAATCATGATTGGACACTGCTGGACTATAGGATCTGCAGCATGACCCCGGGGTCATGTGACTTAAATTAAATCAGCACATTTTCTTTTGATTTATTAGTGATTGATTATTATAATCTTTAAAATTAGTTTCAACATTGTCGACATTGTTTCATCTTTCAGAACTGGGGACCTTTTTTAATTTAGCCAATTAACTGCTCACCCTTTTCTTTTTACCCCAATTATAAAGCTGTCCTGCTGTGTGTTGTGCAAGTGTTCTGATCTGTTATCTCCTCTTAACACGTGAGTCGAGGATGGAATATGTTTTTGCACCAAAACTAACTGGAAATTTTCTTATTTAGGACACCGTGAGGGGAAAAAAGCCCAGAGTGAAGACAAATTAGTTACAAATCAGCCATTGTTTCTCATCGCTTTTGTCTACATGCTTGTTAATACGATGGAGATAATGTGAAATAATCTTAAACAATGTGCTTTAGAGAGATACAGATTACATTATTGTTCACTGAGCCTGTGTCTCGTGTGTATAAATGATGACTGCAAGACAAAAACAGAAAAGATAATAAAAATGATGACTCGATAAACAAAACAGCTGCCTGCTTCAGTGGCACTGGGCTGGAAACGAGATTACTGCCACAATATCACTGTCAATAAAGACAGATGAGCCAGTAGCTCCACAGTACACAAGACACAGATTACGTTATTATATCCAGCAGTTCTGATGATTTCAACTGATTGTTATTTGACAGCTTTGGAACTGCACAGCATAAATAAAGTCTGTGAGAATGACAGAATCCAGATGGTGCGGCCACTCCGACTGAAGAGGGTTGGATTCGTGAATGATTTTTTTTCTTTTGTTGATGTTTCTGAGATGACTTGAGCTCAGTTAGTTCCGAAATATCTTTAAATGCCGTAATAATATGAATGTGTAAAAAGAGAATATACAGTCAGGTCCATAAATATTGGGACATCAACACAATGCTAACATTTTTGGCTCTATACACCACCACAATGGATGTCAAATGAAACGAACAAGAGTGCTTTAACTGCAGACTGTCAGCTTTTATTT